TAGAAACTCCCCTCTTCATCTTGATTTGGTAGAACCTTTTCTTTAAATGAAGCCTATTCTTAATGCTCTTCGTCAAATACTTTTCATTGAGTGTTTTCCACAATCTCTTCGCCGACGTCTCATTCATCACATCATAAATAAGATCCGGCGTTAAGCATGACCGAATCACCCCACAAGCTCTACTGTTCATTTTCTTCCAAACCTTGTCTTCAACATCTTCGGGTTTCTCTTGTAGCTCAAGAGTTTCCTCCAAATTTTGTGCATCTAAGGCGTCCATTACTTGACACCTCCATAAGCCGAAATTGATCTTGCTGTCGAACTTTGGAACATCAATTTTAGTATTATTGATGCTCAAGCTTTGGATCGCCTTTGTCAAAGCCGATCCTGATGTACTTGTAGCACTTGTAGCACTTGAACTAGCCTTGCTTGTTTCAACCATATTGTAGATCTACTCTCCCAACAAGAATCCAACAGCGAATTCTTCGAATAAACTCTCAAGTCCAACCCGGAGCTCTGATACCACTTGTTGTGCGCCGCGGAAGCCGATTCAACAATTCAAGGGCACACACAAGACCCAAAAATAGATCACAATTATCACAAGCAACCCAATCACAGCAAGAACACAAGATATACGTGGTTCGGCAATGTGCCTACGTCCACGGGGTAAGAAGGGGGGAGATTTACTAATGAAATCAAGGGGGAATACAAATTAGGGTTATAAATCTTACCAAAACCCACAAATAAGCCCACTTAATCTCTCCAAATGGCTCCAACAATAGAAGCCCCAAATCTCCTCTTTCAGCAGCTTAAAATTCTCTCCCTTAAACCCTAGAAACGAGTTTAGGGTATTTATACAACTCACAAACGAAACGGGTCTGGAAACAGAACCCAGGCCCAAACCGCTTCGGCGCCCGGTCGACCGCCCTCAATCCCAGAGCAGCAGCAGAAAGCAGAAACTTCTGTGGTCGACTGCGGTGGTCGACCGCGGTGAAAATAGAAACTTTCGTGGTCGACCACCGTGGTCGACCGCCACTGATCCAACTGCATAGTAACCTTGGTGCACGAACACGATCGACCGCCGCGGTCGACCGCCATCCTGTCTGCCCGAATTCTGAGTCTGAAGCCAATTCTACAATCGAGACAAATAGTAATCAACTCCATGTCAATAAGACCTCAATCCTTGGTGAACGTCAACTGCTATATCTGTACTAAAAGTTATTGTTAATACTGACTAAGAATAAGCTAAGCCATTGTTATCAGTGCTCTAGCCTATCAAAATCTAATCATTCTATCGATTATTAATAATCTAGATTGACTTGAACATGAATTAGTTAAGCACAAGAGAAAGAATTAATAATTTAAGCAAAACTATAATAGCATCGTCATCCAAAGCAAATTAGCTATGTATGATTATGAAAGAAAAACAATAAGAAATAAATGAAAACATTTCAACAATTATAGAAAAGAAGGGAATTTTATTATTGAGAAAAACTTTTAAAAAATTTGTTCTACAAGACTACAATAATATGTCCTTCGTCTTATATAGCCAAGCATTCAGTTTGAATACAAGATGAATGATAACATGCATCTAGGATCCAATTTATAATATACAAGCCTCTTCAAAATAGTCTCCTAACATGAGTGGGATTAAAAAAAAGTATCAAAATATACCTTAAAAAAGATCCTTATGATTAAGGAAATCAATCATGGAAATCAATATGATTTATAACCTAATCCAAATAAGACTAATTATTATCATAAATTACCTAAAAGTTGATTACTTTTGAGGTTTTGCCAAAAACTAGTTTTTCTGATGGGATTTTGAGACACTGTGAATTTGGATGGCTCCATCTTGTCAACATAGGCAAATTTTATTTATTATATGTTTGATTATGCTTTTCGGATATGGAGATATTGTCTTTTCATTGCACTTAAGTTAATCATCTCATGAATACGAATTTGACTTGGCCTCCAAGTAGGGGTGCCAAACGGTATGGTTTTATTCGAACCGATCCGCATTCGTATCTGAACGGATGCGGATATGGTAAGCCATTTTTAAAACCAGTAGGATACAATTTCAAAACGGATCTGGTTTCTTTTTTTTCGAATACGGATTCGGATACGGATACGAGTGTAAGATTCGGTTGCGGATATAGATATCCACAATTTAATAAACATAAAAATTCGAGTCCATTTAGGTATCCAAAACCAACCCAAAACTCAAAACCCAAACCCAACTAAAAACCCCTAACCACCTCCACTCAACTCAATTTCTACAGAACGATTCCAGTTCGCCGCCTCGTCTTCGCCAGTTCGCCACCGCCAGTTCTCCACCTTGTCTTCGCCAGTTCGCCACCGCCAGTTCGTCGCCTCGTCTTCGCCAGTTCGCCGTCTCATCTTCGCCAGATGTTCTCTTTCTGAATTCATTTTTTGCCAAAATTAGAGTATTGGTCTCTTCTTCATCTCCACACAAATGTTCTCTGTCTGAATTCATTTTTTGCCAATATTAGAGAGAGAGAAAAAAAGCACATACATTTATAGTTCTCATGGAATAGATAGATTTGTAGTAGACATTAAATAGAATAGAAGCATACAACAAATATATGTGCTGATAGTAGTCACGGAGTAGATAGATTCACGGAAGACAAATAAAATTTATGATCAAATTTTCTCCATTTATTTGTTGGTATGAACTTTTCACAACTTTTGTGAAAAAAAATTATGATGACTGCATTAGTAGGAAAGATTATTGATACACGCTTGGTTAAATGCCTTGATAGTGGTCCTGATAGCAAGTTCAGCTCTAAAGAGAGTTTCTATCTTACCATCTGTGCTCAAAGATACACTAAAATATGGGTCACCATCATCATGAAAGGCTACAGCTCATGCATTGAGATAGTTTTTTTTTCTCTAGCATTTCAGTTCACGCTTGCCCATCGTCAATGTTTGATACCTTTGAAGAAACCTTAATCGCCAATAAAAAACTCAGTAAACAACTTAGGGAACATTTGGCAACCATGGTATTTTTGTCGTTTCTGTTATTTTTTTTAACAATGAAACGCGTTTGGCAACCGGGGCGTTTTTTTGACTTGACTCTTTTCAAAATCCAAAAAATAAACATTTTCTCAAAACACCAAAAATATGTTTTGAAATTTTGTTTTTTCATCTAAGCCTCTCGCCGCCAGCAGGCCGCGCGCCCGCCACCCGCCAGCCCGCCCGCCCTCGGCCCCGCCACCGGCCCGTCCGCCGCCAGCATAGTCGCCCGGCGCCCGTCTGTGCCCACCCGCCCGCCTCCACTCCCTGCCCAGCCGCCACCGCCCCGACCCGTTGGTCGCCACCCGTCGCCCAGTCAGCGCCACCTGGCCTGCCCGCCCGCCTCGCCCGCCGGATCACCTGTTGCCTGACCGACCCGTCGCTGGTCGCCGCCCCCGCCCTCCGGGCCTGTCGTCGCTCGCCTGCTCGGCCGCCCGCCGCTGACGCTGTCGTCGTCCGCCCACACCCGGCTCGCCCGTCGCGTTCGCTCGGTCGTTCGCGCTGCCCGCCGCCACCGCCAATATATAAATAATAACTATAAATTGTGTTTTTAAAACTTGTTTGAAAAAACATCATGACATGGTGTTTTCTACAAAAACACTACAATAAAATCACTTTGATTACCAAACACACCCTTAGTTTGCATCATATTGATTTGTCATGCTTGGCGTAGTTTTTGTTTTTCTCTGGCTTCTTAGTTTGTATCACATGATTGAACGTTTGTTGGTAAACTAAGTTTCGGTGGATTTTTTAGCAGTCTTGAGCTCATATAGAGGCCAAAGTTAAGCGTCTCATGGACTTGTCATGTTTATTGAATATACTTTTGATAGCATTTGGTTGTAATTTATACATAGGGGTATTAATTCATATCTGATTCATATCCATTTGTCGAATATCTATTTCATATCCGTGATCGTATCCGATCCGATTCTCAAATATCCGAACCGTATCCGTTTCCGATGAGTGCAGAAATGGTTAATGTTTTTTCTTACCGAAGATAATTTGTATTTGTATCCGTTTATAGAAAGCGGATATAGATATGGTAAGTGTCATATCTGAACCGTATCCGCTCCGTTAACACCCCTACCTCCAAGTAAATGAATATTACATTTTTCTCGTGATTCCTCGTTAGAGACTTGATGGATTCTTCTAGAATTTTGGTTTTTGGGCCTCAATTGCCATCTTTTGAGCTCTTCTTCATTTAAAGCTTTTTTCTTCTTGTAAATACATTAAAAATATCCTAGTAGCAATTAAATGGTACAAAAATATTGGTAAATGGATTTATGAAAATGATGTGAAATGTGTTAATCAATGTGTCATATACAAGCCAACTACAATACAGGCCTTCAACGTTTCAAATAATAATTTATGTGCATTAAACTTTATAGCATAAAAATCAATATAAATTGTTTCAAACATTTATTTGTAAATATCTAGATAATTATGAATAAAACTTCACTATAACTATGTGTATGTGTCGTTTCAGATTTGGAGGCTAATTTGAAAATATGAAAGATGTTGGATACTAATTTCACAATGCAAAGATTTTTGGGAGTAATTTAAAATATTATACACCGGGGACTATATAGGGCAGATTGGGAGACTAATATCCAAAAAACCCCTCGTTTGCTTTTTCTCACAAGTTTCTTTAAGGGTAAATATCAGAAAACCCATCCCTCACTTTGGACGATTAAAGATGACCTCTATAACTTCGAAAATATTAGAAAAAACCCTCTTTTAAGTTTAGTTGTTATCAGAAAACTCCTTTTAACTTTGAGATTTTATTAGGGAACCCCTAAAAGCGATGGTTTTATGGGAGATTTATGATAAAATCTCAAGGTTAAAAGGGGTTCTTTCACAAGATTTTAAGGTCTAAGGGGGTTTCTGATAATCTCTATAGAGAGTTTTACGATGTTTTGAAAGTTACAGTGGTTTATCTGATAATGCTCCAAAGCCAAACGCGCTTTTCTGATATTTAGCATTTTTCTTTCGAAAATGCTATTTGACACGCGAGATGGGCGCTTGACAAATAGCAAAACCTTTTTTGTTTAATCCTGGTCCTGGAACTCAGTACAAAGTTTGTGTATATGCACAACCAAACACTGCCCGAGACGAGCGCACCTAAATATTCACCCGATAAGGACGTTAATTTCACCGGCCAAATCCGAATCATTTCGGCCTCGCTATCAGCTGTAACGTTTCGGTTTCGGCCTATTTATATCCCTCAATCAACTGTAAAAAGACGATTTTAGAGAAAAATCCAAAAAAGGTAGCATTTTGTCCAATTCTTTCTCTATTCATCAATTATATATCCCTCATCAAGTGCATGGGTGTTCCAAATTTCGTTCATTTATTTCAGTTATCATGAGCTCACTATTTTGCACACAACCTGTTTGATAAAATCTTCATACGAGTCACTAAAATATTTTAGTATTCTAACTACTCGGTACAATGCGCTAATGGGTTATTTATAACTTTAGTTGAAATGTATCAGTTTTGGTATTTTAGAAGTGTTGAATAATTGTGGCAATTTTGAGATTTGAATAGTGATGGGGAGCGAAGAGGACAACAAGAAGACCCAGACAGTCGAAGCTCGAGCTAGAAGCATTAGCCACAATGTTCGGTGCACCGAGTGCGGGAGCCAGTCCATTGAAGATTCACAAGCTGATGTTGCCGTTCTTTTGAGGAAGGTGATGACCTTCATCTATTAGACTCCTGTTTATCTTTCCTTCGATACATGACATAGAAAAATAATGCAAATGCTTAATGAAATGGGAAAGTTTTTGATGCACCCTTTATAACCTAAACATAGTGTTGATCATATATTGTCCTGATTTTCTCTGTTTTCTTTTCAGCAACTTAATTTTAGGTTTCTGTATTTTGAAGGGATTAACCAGGGAGAAATTATTAAGAGAGTAACGCAGCGAATAATCTTGGAATATTGATGCTTAATGGGCAAATGCCTTCCTAATGCCATCAGTCTAACTATCATTTGAAATAAAATATAAGAAAAAACAAGGTCAAAATCAAACAAATGAGTGAAAGATTTGTCGTAGTAAGTTAAAACCTCTCAATTTTTATTCTCTCAATCACATATATTTTGTTGGAAGCTTAACAGCGAAAAGAGATTTGAATACTTTGAGCAGTAAGGTCAGATGTTAAATGAAAGAAGTACAGAACAGAAGCAATTTATTGAGTGATATGATAGAATAAGTTTTGTAATCTATGTGAAATCTCATTTGTTTTATGGATGCAATTGCATCCCTGGTTTTAGTGTGGCAATGTTGATAATTAATTTCTCTCTTTCTTCTTCTGTTGCAGCTTATTAGAGATGAGATTAGGTCCGGTAAAAGTGATAAAGAGATATATAAAAAGCTTGAAGATGTTGCAGCTTATTAGAGATGAGATTAGGTCCGGTAAAAGTGATAAAGAGATATATAAAAAGCTTGAAGAAGATTTTGGGGAAACAGTACTCGATTAGGTCCGGTAAAAGTGATAAAGAGATATATAAAAAGCTTGAAGAAGATTTTGGGGAAACAGTACTCTACACACCTCGTTTTGATATGCAAACTGCAACTTTGTGGTTATCACCAGTAAGTAATTGTGAAAACTGCCATTCTTGAAGTATATCAAATAATTCTTCGTTCTTATGGAGAATAAAAATATATTTTTAATACCAAAGATAAGTTTGTCAGGATGCAGCTCCCACTACGCTACTGCTTCTAATTCCTCTATTCAGACTACATGCCTAAACCAAAATCTGCTTTTAGGGACACACATGCTCAATCATACATCACAGGATATATGCTCACTGGCACCTGTCTGCAAAGGAAATGTATTAAGATGTTAATCTTAATTTTCTCTTCCAATATATGCATTCTGGAACTGTTTGGTCACTGTGGAGAGTTGTTGCTTCCAGTATTTGCTTGTTTGAAAATAGTGTAGAAAAAAGCAAATCAACAATAATTTCAAGAAAATTGTCTTCTATGTTGTTGCTATCTTTCCCACTATGAAAGTGATTTTGAGATGAGAACCCACAACCTCATTTCTTTCTTTTTCTTCCCTCCAACTGAATGGTCTAAAATTTTCTTATAGTCAAGGATACGGATACACTTTACTTACAACATAAACATGGCACGTGCAATTTGCATGGCTTTCTAAATGTTAAAGGTTAAAGATACGCTGATAAGTTATTGATATTTTAATTAATACGGCAGGTTATTGTTGCGGGGGTAGCTGCTTGGGTGTGGGCCTATCAGAGGCATAGGCAGAAAACTAATGTGCACATCATGGCTCTGAACCTTGTGAGAGGTGTTCCACTGACTCCCAAGGAAAAGGAAACAATGCTAGATCTCCTCACACATCCCCCTCCACCTAGAAGGTGGTGGTGGGGTTAATGACTCGTTGTCAATAAGAATTTTTATATCCTAGATAGACATTCAGTATTTCTTTTTTAATAGGATCAAAATTTTCATGCTACACTGATGGTTTCTCCATGCTTGCTGCATTTGGACCATAACCTTGTTAGCATAATATTCATATCATTGCGACTTGTATTTTCTACATGTCGGCATACGGTTTCTCCATGTTTGCTACATCTGGACCATAACCTTGTTAGCATAATATTCATATCATTGCGACTTGTATTTTCTACATGTCAATATCTAGTTTTGTAATACCATTCTAAATTGATTGGTTTGTGATATAATATTTTCGGCTTCATGTTACTCTAATTGAAGCTGCTCTATTTTGAAGGAAAAAGAAAAAATAAATTTGTAAAAGAATGATGACAGAAACACTTACTTTGATATACAGTGATTTGTATTTTGACAAACATGGATATCCATAAGGGAATGGTTAACAATAAATTATTTGACATAATCAGTGGTCATTCATACAAATATCCAAACACATTTCCTAATGTAATTGTAATATATAAGACTGAACAACTTCATGTGGGTCAAAGTATATACAAAATTGCATAATGTGAAATAGATGATCTTTTTACTAACAAATACATTAAACTCAAGATTGAAATAATTTTCCTTTTGGACATCAGTCATTGAATAATATATGGTTACCAACTAGATCAGATTCAAGGCCATATATTTATTTTCACTACATATAGACACTGAGTTCATAATGACAATATCAATATTCATAAAAAGAAGAAAAAAGTTCAAATATAACAATACCTACGTCCATTCTGTATTTTCTAGCATTTAACATATTGCAATAACATTTATTAATTCTCTGTCTGTGAAATATGAGGAGTGGCATGCAAAAGTAGGTCAAACTTTTTATGGACAGTGATTCCGAATGATTCGGACATGTCAAGACTCTCGGACTTGATTTTTATGGCAGTGGGAAGCTCCCAATCAAAGTAGTAGAGCAATTGAGCAAGTGGAAGTACCATCGTAGCCAGCCCAAATAGAATTCCTGGGCACATTCTCCTCCCTGCTCCAAATGGTAATAGCTCAAAGTTTGTTCCCCTGAAGTCTATCATGCTTCTTTCAAATCTCTCAGGTTTAAACTCTTCAGCATCTTCCCAGTATTGTGGATCTCTTCCAATTGCCCATGCATTGACAACTACTCTTGTCTTAGCTGGTATCTTATAGCCTAATAATTCACATTCCTTTTGGCACTCTCGTGGCAGTAACAATGGAAGTGGAGGGTGCAACCTCAAAGTTTCTTTGATTACTAATTGCAAATAATTCAGTTCTTTGACATCGTCCTCTGTCACTTTGGATTTTCCTCTGAGAGCATCGCGTACTTCTTTTTGTACCTTGTTCATCACCCTAGGATTTCTCATTAGCTCCGACATGGTCCATTGCATTGTTGAAGATGAGGTATCACTTCCAGCCCCAAATACATCCTGAAGTAGCAGACGCATATCGTTAGCTTGTAGACAGGCGTTAAACCTTGATAGAATGAATTAATTGGATAATTGCCTCACTCAAGCATGCAGAAAGAATGTTAAACATTGATCCTATGATTTCTCCTCACAAGATTATCTATAAGGAAGATTATGTGATGATTGTGGGGGCTTGCCTTTTTCCCAAAGGAGAATAAAAAGAAAGAACAATGATCTCGTTGGTCATTATATGTCTTTCATTACATGATAGGACATTTTCATTTTACAGAGACCTGATGCATGAGGAAAAATCAAAATCAAAATCCATATTCTGTTTGTTCATAGAGAGTTTCGAACATCTGTAAAGGAAGGGAATGGATGGTTAAACTTGATGACAAGTCATATGTATTAGTCAGTTTGGGAAACAAAACTAATTATGCTTTGAAATAAAATTATATGTAGTCACTTATAATGAAAAGAAAGAAAAGACAGAAAAGAATTTAGTGCTTAGTAGTTACCAAAATAAGGGCCTTGATGTTATCGTTGCTGAGTTCAAAGTCACCTTTCTTCTGAAGTCTCAGCAGTACATCCACGAAATCCTCTGTTAGTTCACCTCTGCTATGACAAACATGGATATCCATAAGGGAATGGTTAACAATAAATTATTTGACATAATCAGTGGTCATTCATACAAATATCCAAACACATTTCCTAATGTAATTGTAATATATAAGACTGAACAACTTCATGTGGGTCAAAGTATATACAAAATTGCATAATGTGAAATAGATGATCTTTTTACTAACAAATACATTAAACTCAAGATTGAAATAATTTTCCTTTTGGACATCAGTCATTGAATAATATATGGTTACCAACTAGATCAGATTCAAGGCCATATATTTATTTTCACTACATATAGACACTGAGTTCATAATGACAATATCAATATTCATAAAAAGAAGAAAAAAGTTCAAATATAACAATACCTACGTCCATTCTGTATTTTCTAGCATTTAACATATTGCAATAACATTTATTAATTCTCTGTCTGTGAAATATGAGGAGTGGCATGCAAAAGTAGGTCAAACTTTTTATGGACAGTGATTCCGAATGATTCGGACATGTCAAGACTCTCGGACTTGATTTTTATGGCAGTGGGAAGCTCCCAATCAAAGTAGTAGAGCAATTGAGCAAGTGGAAGTACCATCGTAGCCAGCCCAAATAGAATTCCTGGGCACATTCTCCTCCCTGCTCCAAATGGTAATAGCTCAAAGTTTGTTCCCCTGAAGTCTATCATGCTTCTTTCAAATCTCTCAGGTTTAAACTCTTCAGCATCTTCCCAGTATTGTGGATCTCTTCCAATTGCCCATGCATTGACAACTACTCTTGTCTTAGCTGGTATCTTATAGCCTAATAATTCACATTCCTTTTGGCACTCTCGTGGCAGTAACAATGGAAGTGGAGGGTGCAACCTCAAAGTTTCTTTGATTACTAATTGCAAATAATTCAGTTCTTTGACATCGTCCTCTGTCACTTTGGATTTTCCTCTGAGAGCATCGCGTACTTCTTTTTGTACCTTGTTCATCACCCTAGGATTTCTCATTAGCTCCGACATGGTCCATTGCATTGTTGAAGATGAGGTATCACTTCCAGCCCCAAATACATCCTGAAGTAGCAGACGCATATCGTTAGCTTGTAGACAGGCGTTAAACCTTGATAGAATGAATTAATTGGATAATTGCCTCACTCAAGCATGCAGAAAGAATGTTAAACATTGATCCTATGATTTCTCCTCACAAGATTATCTATAAGGAAGATTATGTGATGATTGTGGGGGCTTGCCTTTTTCCCAAAGGAGAATAAAAAGAAAGAACAATGATCTCGTTGGTCATTATATGTCTTTCATTACATGATAGGACATTTTTAGTTTACAGAGACCTGATGCATGAGGAAAATCAAAATCAAAATCCAAATCCATATTCTGTTTGTTCATAGAGAGTTTCGAACATCTGTAAAGGAAGGGGATGGATGGTTAAACTAGATGACAAGTCATATGTATTAGTCAGTTTGGGAAACAAAACTAATTATGCTTTGAAATAAAATTATATGTAGTCACTTATAATGAAAAGAAAGAAAAGACAGAAAAGAATTTAGTGCTTAGTAGTTACCAAAATAAGGGCCTTGATGTTATCGTTGCTGAGTTCAAAGTCACCTTTCTTCTGAAGTCTCAGCAGTACATCCACGAAATCCTCTGTTAGTTCACCTCTGCTATTGCCATCCACCTTTTCCTGCTTTCTGTGATCTTGGACAATGCTCTCGAGTATCTCATCTTGTTTCTGATGGCATCTCTCAACCCTGGATTTAATTTGACTAACCATGCTTAGCAACCACGAATACGACGGGAAAATATCGGTCAAGTCCGTGCTCCCTGCCAACACAACCCCTTCAGACAAAGTTGCTAAGAACTTATCTTGGTACTCAAACTTATTTCCAACGGCTGCCCTTGTTGTTATCTTGTTGGCCATCTCAATCATCATCTTACTTAGATTTATGATAGAACCATGTGTAGATTTCAAGGAAATAGATTGGGTGAGACTTTCGACTGCTTAGTAGCTCTAGGACGCAAATTTTTCGCAGTTGCCTCCAGTTCTCGCCATAGGGCCCAAAGGACATACTCTTTCCTCTGTAGGAAAAGATGTCCATAGCAGGAAACAAAGGTCTAGTGGCAAAATTGGTATCATGTGTCTTCATGAGCTCTTTAGCTACTTCAGGAGAGGAGACAATGAGCATAGAGACCTCTCCCAGCCTCAAGTGCATGAGAGGGCCATAGACTTTGGAGAGCTCTTGAAAGCGATGATGAGGCAGCTTTGATCCTCCTATTAAGTGATGGATGCTTCCCAGAATTGGAAGCTTCCATGGCCCTGGTGGAAGTCTCTGATGGGATTTATTTGCAAATTTGAACAGTAAGAAGATGAACAATGTTGCAAGGGAGAAAAATGTGTAAATGGATTCCATTGTTAAGGATGGACTGAAAAAAATAATAATAAAAGATTACCCTTGATATTGGAGTTGGTTCTAAGGACCGAAGAATTGCTATGTATTGTCTATCTGTGTCTAAGAATCTGCAGGCCTTGGATCCTTGAAGATTACGACACCTTAACTTTGTTTATTTCTCATTTTGGTTTCATATTTCTAATAGAGCATGGAATTATCCGCTCACAAGATATAAACATCCATTTCTATTATAAACCACAACCATGTACGTGCTTGTGCTTTATGAAGTAATCGACGTATAAGAGTAGAAAAAAAAGGCGTCTTATGCATCTAGCTTGTTGTGCACCAGTCTGTTTTAGTTATGTTCTAAATTGTCAACTTGGATTCAGTGACATTGATTTATCTAGTGACCCTTTAAAATCTTTATTAGCAGGCTGTATAACTTATAGACTATTGTGTTTTGTTTGTTTCTTGTTGTGGTCATGGATTTCCAAAGAGGGGCAGTTAAGAACCTATTTTGCTTCTATCAGGATGTTAGAAGTCCCTGTGAACTGCGTATCTAACTAAAACTTTTTGACGGCTGTCTAAATAGTGCGAAGTATCGACTATAGTCATTGCAGTTCACGGAGGATGTGGTTCAAATTCTCACCTCTAGTCTAGGATGGGATGGATCGGTTTGATTCTCTTGAAGAGATTATTTCATTAAGATACTCAGATTTTGGTAGTACTTTTAGTGAGATTTGGCGGTCGTCAGTAATTTATCTTGAGAAAAGTTTTTGTTTTTTTTTAACCCTGATTTGGAAACCCGGGCCTTTATTGGTTAACAGCTTGGTTAGGGGTGAACCTGCTTTGTGCTTATTTGCAATTCTCTCCAGTCCTCTCCTCAAGCATTAGGTGACATCCTCTTAATCCTTATGGGTTTGTAACTGTAGGTTTGGGAAATCTCCTGTTGATTAAGGAAACTTAACTTCTTCTTTTGTTTAACTAGAGAAATTAGCTAGCTCCCATTTATATTGAATAGATATTCTGTGTTGATTTGGGTTGTGCTGATTAAGATACCTCAGCTTCTCCTCTAGTTGACTTCATATGCAGATTCTTTTTCAGTCTCCGCATTAAAGATTCTCCATCATCCTCTCTGTGTGATCTCCTCCGTATTTTAATTCCTCTTGTCACATGCTTCTGCTTCCTAACAAAGTTACAGGAACCAAGAGACGGGTCATATTTTTAGCCAATTAAGAACTCATTCCTGAAATATCATAATCTTAAGGTCATGGGATGTCGAAAGAAAAAAATTTTGCAATAACTTTGAAAATAAAAGGATACAACCTTGCAGTTTGCAAATAGAGTGGCACTGTAATATACCTTGCTTTCGAGGATAGTAACGTCGGTTATTACGTGATATTCATCTGATTTGAAGTGAGATCTCTTGAACTGATAGGAAATGAGCTCCCTGATACCTCAATGTCCTGGCCAATTGTTCGTTGCGTGCCGTCTCTTCGTTCTTTCTTGTTGTCTTCTGTTTGGAGAAAAAAGGCTGTTGGATTGTGGCCGAAGCTGGAATGCCTACAACGTTGGCTATTAATGCTTCTCCCCCTTGGAATAAGCTCAATCTATACGTCCTCCAACGGACTTCAATTAATTGGAAAAGTTAAATGTTCAAATGATAAAAGCATTTAATCTTAACTCCACTTATTGCTATAAATGAAGCTAATCTCTTTTTTGTTCGTTTAATTAGTTGTGGTGTGAGCCACAGAGGAGGGACTCACCCAAGCTCGTTAGTCAATAGTCCGATGCTTGTTCGATCCCTTTTATACAAATGTCGAACTTATTCCCAATGTGCTTATTCGATTAAGAATATTTCTTAATCCGTATCCGACCAACTTAAATAATCAGGTTGTTCGGTGTCTGACCCGTCTAACTAATCAGCCTTAAAGATGGTGTTGTTGGTGAATTGATGAAGCCATCATTAAAAATATGCGTTTATTTTTTTATTTTTATTTTGAAAATGCCTTTACATTTAAAAAAAATAATTGTAAATGCTCTCACGTTTAAAAAATTCACAAATATGCCCTCCGACTTAAAAAATGAAAAATAATGTCTTCACGCTTGGAAAAATTCATACATGGTCNCGTGAAGTTTTTCTCATAACAAAACTTCACGGGAGTTGAACTCCCGTGAAGTTTGGGAAATTTTTTTTTAAAAACCGACCCAGTTTCAACCAACTGGGTCGGTTTTTATAAATAAGATTGAAATGGGTCGTTTTTTAAAATCCCAAAGTGGTCTGTTTTGAAAATTTGTCCCGAAGACAAAAGCATGCTCACATTCATAGGACAAATTTTTAAAACCAACCCTTTTCATGATTTAATTGTCAAAAATGACCCGTTTCTGTTTTATTTAGAGAAACCGACCTGGTTTCAGCACTGTCGCTGAAACCAGGTCGGTTTTTGAAAAAAACTTTACGAAACTTCACGGGAGTTGAACTCCCGTGAAGTTTTTTTTCATAACAAAACTTCACGGGAGTTGAACTCCCGTGAAGTTTGGGAAAAAAATTTTCAAAAACCGACCCAGTTTCAACAAACTGGGTCGGTTTTTATAAATAAAATAGAAACGGGTCGTTTTTTGCAATCATGAAATGGGTCGGTTTTGAAAATTTGTCCCACATTCATATCTATCTGTTTTCTTTGATGATTCGATCACAACAACAACTCCAGTTTTATGTTATACACAACGCGTGTACCGAAATTCTAGTGAGGAGATTAAATAAACCCCCTTTTTGTATTGGAGTTGGATTTAAGGTCGGAAGACATAACAATAGATAGTTTATTTGAGTCAAGGAATCTGCAGGACGTCATTCCCTTTGATCTAGACACCTCCAGTTTGTCTACTAATTGAGGTTTACACTCTCTAGGCTCACATGTTGCCTACATTAATTTATTTTAGGAAGAAAATGATTTTAAAAGGAAACCACTGCTTTTCCACCAAGGAGTCCATCCCCAAGACGCCAAACATCAAATTTCTATCATAAGATCATGTCATATATATATATATATATTTCAGATTTGTTCATAGAGCAATAAGGTGCGTCATTACTCCATCAAGTAACTAGCATACAGCAGTAGAACATACTTTCTTCACCTTAGACTAGCTAGCTTCTTACACGATACAAGTAGTTAAATATTCCTTTCAACAAAACATTAGAGAACCAAAAGTTCCCACTATCCATTTAAACAAATTGTTGTCAGTTGGCTTGGATAAATAGACGCAGAGGTGAGAAGCAAACTAGCACATGCACTTTAGGATAAGACGCCGAGATGAGCAGTAGACTATTGTGCTATGCAACACAGGTACCTCCGCAAACCCAGTTCCTGCATCACACGCAAAGTTAAGCTCAATACAAAATAAACCAAGAAGGTTAATAAGTTTTGAGATCATTTAGAAAATGTAATGCTAACTAACACACACGGGCCATAGCCTAGAAGCCAGCATGCGCGCATGCGCATTAGCATACTGATGCGAACTGGGTGCTGATCAGTGTGTGAGATATGAGAATAGATATTGGAATGGGTAACATCTTCATATCATAGTTGCCCCTTAAATTTGTTAATAAAGAATCTGGGATCGTCGCGTATGCTGCATATGTTAGGTCTATTTGTACTTGGTTCGACATAATGTATCTGTCCATAATTATGTTTAGGCATAAGATATCCTGCTGCTAAATCCCTAGTCAAGTGTTTTATAGGGCAGCCATATATGTTGGGCCTCATTCCACGATATTGGATCCATGAATAATTGTAACCTGGCATCATCAGTTATGCCCATTGCTCAAAATCCCGGGTTAACAGTATGAAGATTGTTGGCTGACTCAACATGAGAACAAATATGCCCTGAAATCATCCTCACACTGAAAGTCTTGGATGGGGGTCATAGTTTGGAAAAATATAGTAAGGATAGGTTCAAGAATAGGCATAAATATAAATAGAACAATACAATTTCTTATGACTTTGAGGACAGGATTATGTGAAATTTTTAACTATTTCAGTTAGTTTAGTATGAACATTAAGAGAGGTAGTTTATCAAAAACATGTTGTATTTGAGGAAGCGACAGATGTCTCAGTTATCAGATATATAGGTGGGCATGGTGATCATATTCTAAAGTAGGTGAGTTTATCTTGATAACTAGTACTTTTTATTAGTGTCACTCAAATATAAAACTTAAACCAAGAGTTTTCTCTATTGGATAGGCTTGGCTGATAGGATTCTTTTTTATTGGGAATTAAGTTGGTCATCAATGCAATTCTATTGTGCGTAAGACTTGTAGGTTGGTGATAAGGAAAGCCACAAGCGAACTCCTATTACGACTCTAATTGCAGCATGAATAGAAGTCATTATGGGCTTGGACTCTTATTGGGCTTTAGATCGTATGGATTCATATTCCAACTAGAACTCATATTCCATGGGCAGCAGGGAGTTGGGGTCTTCAAGCCTATATATATACAGTCTGTCAAGCCAATTATTATCGTCAATCTACAGAGCACCAATCAAGAATAAAGAGTTCGCTTGTAAAGCCTATTTGATATTTTCTCCCTTTTTGTTCCTTTATTTGAAAGAGTTATCTTTTCTCTCTTTTGGAATGCTTCAAGGATTGAGTGATTGAGAGATCTCTATATTGTATTCCTCACAATTTAGTAAAGCTATTCTCCTTCTTCGCTCGTGGACATATGCTACTAGCTAAACCATGCATATCTGTGTTCTTGTGTTCTCGATATTTTTCGTGTTGTCGTGTGATTAATATCAGTTTATCCTGTGGATTTATCATAACAATTTGGTGTCACTGTGGATTTATCATAACAATTTGGTGTCAGAACCCTCAACTATAGATCAAAAAAGAATATGACGACAACCACTACGAAGTGAGATATTGAGAAGTTTGACAGCAACATTAGTTTTAGTCTTTGGCAAGTTAGAATATTACCATGTTGACACAAGAGTGGATTGAAGAAGACTTTGTTCGGGAAGTCGAAGAATTCAGCTACCATGAAGGAGAAAGATTGAAACAAGTTGGATGATAAAGCTCTCACATCAATCCACTTATGTCTAACAAACGAGGTTCTGCAAAAAGTTCTCACAGAGAAGACAGTTGTTGACCGGTGGTCTAAATTAGAGGATTTGTATTTGATGAAGTTGCTCGCTAATCTCCTTCTCTTGAAGTGGCGTTTGTGCACACTTCGGATGTCAAAAGATACACCTATCAAATCTCATATTGGTGAATTCAATTCTGTAATTATAGATTTGAGTAAGATATTAAAATTGATGATAAAGATCAAGCCCTATTATTATTGTGTTCTTTACTACCTTCAGTTTTTCGTGTTGTCGTGTGATTGATATTAGTTTATCCTGGAGATTTATCATAACAAATTGGTATCAGAACCCTCAATGACGACAACATTAGTTTGACGGCAACCGCTGCAAAATGAGATATTGAGAAGTTTGACGGCAACATTAGTTTTAGTCTTTAGCAAGTTAGAATATTACTATGTTGACACAGAATGGATTGAAGAAGACTTTGTTCGGGAAGTCGAATAAGTCAGCTACCATGAAGGAGAAAGATTGAAACGAGTTGGATCAGTGTTTTTAAGGGCGCATCGGGGCGCGCATCGGGCGCGAGGCGCTTCGGCGCAATAGCACACCGCCCCGCAGCAGGAGCGGGATGCTACACTTGCGTGGAGCGCCCCGCAACGCCTGACGAAAAGCGAAAGGCGCACGCCTTATTTCTAGGACCTCAAGGGTTAGGGTTCAGGTACAAATTCGCTTCCCACTTAAACCCGAAGTCAAAAAGGAAAATCAAAAAGGGAAATAAAAAAGGGTTAGGGTTCCTTTCACTCACTTTTTCTCCCGAGAGTCCTGATATCCACTCTTGCAGTCTCCTTCGGCAGCAGCAAGCGACGACGACGACGACTAGCGACGATGACAGGCAACGAAGACGACGGGCGACGACGATCAGCGATTAGCAGCATCAACGAACAGGTAAGTTTTCTCCTTTCTCTTTGTTTTTTTTCCTTTTGTTTTCTAGTTTTCTTTTTTTTTTCTCCTCAACGACAAGGTTCTCCGTTCTTATCTTTTTTGCCACATCAGATTTTAACAGTAGCTGACTGATTTTAACATAGTTATTTTTTACTGTAGCTATTTTTTACTGTTGGATCTTTTATTTTTTTTAAGTTTTTCTCACTCCTCAACGAGAAGGTTCCAGTTTTCTTTTATTTTTACTGTAGCTATGTTAACCGTAAAAAATTTAACTGTAGTTATTTTGTACTGTAGCTAATTTAAGTTTTAACACTTAACAGTAAAATTATTATCTGATAGTGCATTTTAAGAGTGCTATAAGTTACTGTTGCTATCATTTTGTTACTGTAGCTATTATTTTGTTACTGTAGTGTAGGTATTTTAAGAGTTCTATAACTTGATTTGCTTCAATGATTAAAACATTATATTGTGATATGGTAGTATATATTTTATTTATCTTGAGTCCTTGACATTTTCTATGTGAAATTTCAAATATTTATTTTTTCATGCATCTTGTGTATCTTCAAAAATTTTGTGGTCTGGAGTGTACCTCGCTTTGCTCGGGCGTGCGCATCGCATTGCGCCTTGCGCATGTGCGCGTAAAATGACTTTGCGCCCCGCATTGTGCCTCACGCATTGAAAACACTGAGTTGGATGATAAAGCTCTCACAGCAATCCAGTTTATGTCTAGAAAACGAGGTTCTACAAAAAGTTCTCACGGAGAAGACAACTGTTGACCGGTGAGGATTTGTATTTAATGAAGATGCTCGCTAATCGTCTTCTCTTGAAGTGGCGTTTGTACACACTTCGGATGTCAAAAGATATACCCATCAAATCTCATATAGGTGAATTTAATTCTGTAATCACAGATTTGAGAAAGATATTAAGATTGATGATAAAAATCAAGTCCTATTATTATTGTGTTCGTTACTGCCTTCCTACAATCACTTCCGGAATACCATAATTTATGGTCGAGATTCTATTAGCATCAAGAACGTCAAAGAGAACTTGTTGAATAAGGATAAGATCGACAAAGAGTTAACAACAAGAGAAAATAGTGATAAAACTGATGGCTTGTTTGTTCAAGGAAGATAGGAGGAAAGAGGTTTTGAAGGTAACATGTATAAGTCAAAGCAGAGGAATCTGACATGCGAATATTACAAGAAGAAAGGGCACATCAACATCGATTCTTACAAGTTGAAGAACAAGAAGAAACAAGAAGAGTATGAAGAAAAATCAAAAGAATTCGCAAAAGTTTGTATTGCTAAAGATGTGATTTTATTAATTACCGATGATAAAAACAGAAGCATGGATGATTGGATTTTGGATTCAGGTTCCTATCATGTGTCCTAATCCAAATTGGTTCACCACTTATAAAGTTATTGATGGTGGAATTGTTCTCATTAGGAATAACGCCTCATGCAAGACTATTAGGAAATGAACAATTCTAAGCAAGATGCATGAAATTAGGCATGCTCCAAGTTTAAAAAAGAATATCATCTCTTTGGGCACACTTGATAGTCTGGGGTGCAATTTTTTTAGGTGAAGGCAGAGTTCTTAAGAGTTATAAAAAGGCTCTCTTGTGGTTGTGAAAAAAAATATTGGCAGCTTGTATGTTTTGAAAGGTTCTAGCGTTACCTGTTCGGTTACAATTGCATCATGGATATTAGAAGTAGATACTACCAAATTATGGCATATAAGACTTAGCCATATGTGTGAGTGCGGATTGACCGAGATGAGCAAGAATGGTCTTCTTTGTGGACAGAGTACATGAAAATTAAGGTTCTGCAAGCATTGCATCTTCAGAAAGCAAAAACGAATTAACACAACAGTGCATCTAGGAACCTTCACAATTGCCTCAAATGATGGTAGTTTGAGATATTTGTTGATCTTCATTGATGACTATTCCAAGAATGTTTGGGTCTACTCCTTGAGACATAAAGATGAGGTGTTTATGCCTTTCAAGCAATAAAAGTTTTTTTATTAAGAAACAGACTGAGTGGCTGGTTAAGAAGCTTAGAACAGATAATGGCTTCGAGTTTTGTGGAGAAGAATTTAATAAGTTCTATAAAGAGCGAGTCGTTAAACATCGCATAGTCCCTCGCACACCACGACAGAATTTAGTGGCAAAATGTATGAATAGAACCCTTTTGGAGAAAGCTCGTTATATGTTATTCAGTGCAGGTTCAGGCAAAGAATATTGGGGAAAGCAATGAATATGGCTTGTTACTTAGTGACCGATCGCCATCTATTGCCATTGGCTATAAAAATTCAGAGGTTTCATCTGGTAAGCATGTAGATTATTATAATCTTAGAATATTTGGTTGCCTTGCATATGCGCATGTTAGTCAAGAAAAACCGGAACCTCGAGCAAAGAAGTGCATGTTCCTAGATTATGCATCGGGTGTAAAAAATTTTAGGCTATGGTTTCCTAATCCAAAATATTCTAAGATTATTATCAGTCGTGATGTCACTTCTAATGAGTTTACTATGTTCCACTAGAAACGGCCATCAGTTTCAATTGATGATGATAAAATGTGCACTACAAGACAGATGGTAGAGTTAGATATTCGTGATTCAGCTCTTCAGCAAGATAAGACTACGCAAGTTCAGCAGTCAAATCCCGTTCAAGTAGATGAAACACCTTAGCAACTGCAGAAAGAGCGAGAATACACTATTGCTAGAGACTGATCTAGACGAGATATTTGACCATCACGAAGATATGAAGATAGAAGAGCTTATGCATTGTTGGTTGACAATTTTGTACTCTTCGGCTATACAAGAGCTATTTCAGGTGATGACTTTATTTAGAGTTACAGTCGTCGCAATTCAGTCGATTTATTGAGGCCTCTTTCAGTTAGCAAGTTCAAGGTGGGCTTAGACTTGATCGATATGTGCCACACTTAGATGCTCTGCAGGGCTACTAGAGAAGGTGGAGTAAGTTAGCTAATTTGGAGTGAGAAATCTTCAACATATTTAAGTCAATGTGGAGATTTATTAGTGTAATTCAAATATAGATATAATCCAAGAGTTTTTTTTCTATTGAATAGACTTGACTAAGAGGATTCCTTTTCTATTAGGAATTAAGTTGGTCATAAATGCAAAATCCTATTGTGCATAGGAGTTGCTGGGTGGTGATAAGGAAAGTCACGAATAAAGTCCTATTACGACTCTAATTGCAGCAAGAATAGAAGTCATTATATGTTTGGACGCTTATTAGGCTTTAGAACATGAGGACTCCTAATCCCACTAAAACTCCTATTCCATAGGCAACAAGGAGTTGGGATCTTCAAGCCTATATATGTACAATTTTCAAGCCACTTATTATCAATATAAGAGCACCAATCAAGAACAAAGATTTCTCTTGTAAAGCCTATTTGATATTTCTCTCTTTTTGCTCCTTTATTTGAGAGAGTTGTATTAGGCTTTTTGAGATGCTTTAGAGATTGAGTGATTGAGAGATATGCACATTGTATATCTCACAATTTAGTAAAGTTATTCTCCTCCTTCGCCCGTGGACGTAGGCTACAAGCCGAACCATGTATGTGTATTATTGTGTTCTCGATATTTTTCGTGCTATCTTGTGATTGATGTTAGTTTATCATGGGAATGTCATAACACTTTCTTTAAACCATCTTAATGTTGAACCAAAAAAAATGACCACGAGCAACTTCTCATATCCATTTTCTAAAGAAAGTATGAATTAAACTCCTTGGTAAAAAAGGAGCGTAAGGCTATCGATAGCCCCATACTACAGGAAGCACGTCTGAAATCTTCTCAACCTCAATACACATCACTTTTTTGAATTTTTTAGATTTGGTAAATGCTTCATGAATCAAGATGCCATGAACTTTCTGGTCGATCATTATTGCAGGGGAAAAGGATAGCAATTGGGAGACAATCCATATTAGTGTCTCCTCCCAATTATTGTTTTAAGGCAACAATACCAACTGCCATTTCTAAGCCCTCAATGTTCAGAAGAATCAGAAAATGTCCTCTGCAACATTTGTAACGATAAGAAAGCCCAAATTTCTACCAGCTTATTAAATCACCCTCCTCGCAATAAAACTAATAATGATGTCCCCAAAATATTCGAGAATTGAAACATCCATTACTTCCACCGAGTAAAGTATCACTATAGGTCACATGATATGATTCTTTTGACTACATTACCTATCCTAATGTCAGTAATTATCACTTAGATAAATGAAAAGAGAAAATATTAGTTTATTTGTAATACCCAATCCAAGGTCGACACTAACGACCAATCTGAACCCTGCTCCTAACTTCTATGCCTATCCTTTGCCAATCCTACCTATTTCAGCTCTGTAAACATAAAGACACACGCAATGCCCACAAGTATACACACCTATCCCCATCCAAACATAAACTGTAACCTAGTGAGTTAGGGCAAACCATATCCTACCCCCTTTACCTATTTAAACCCTAAGTTAAAACCTAACTCAACCCAAATACAAAGTTACAACCTGACCCTAAATTGTTAATTCCTATAGCCACAAACATTACTCTTATCTTAACTGTTTGAGTTTAAGGCAGGTTTAGATAGCATCATCAAGATCGCTTTTTGAAAATGGAGGAGGTTATAAACTGGTACTTACGGTTGACTAAATATTCCCTTCTAATAAGTAAGTCAGATAGTATTCTGTCATTGGTTGAACCCAATATAATTGTCGGAGAAAATGAGGCCCCTCCAATAACGCACACCTCAACTCATCTCTACGGTCATATTTGTCTAAAAATGAGAGCAAAAGCACATTCAGTTACACTTGGATGAATAATGTAACAACTAAAACACTCCTGAATGCCCATATTATATCAGAAACGAAGGGGCTGCTTGGTTCTCTTTGTAGAATCCTACTTCTCATTGTCATATACAGATTTGGTCCAATATTCTGACTCCTTCAAGAAATACTTCATTCAGATCATTCATTTGCAAAGTGCAGTATTTCATTTATGAAAGCAAATTTTACTCATAACGGTTGTACTATTTTATTTACTGTCAACAAAAGTGACACTAGTATTTTGGAGAAAGAACATGTAGAGATATTGATGTAAACATATTCCTTAAAACTATGCATCAACAATAAATTCACTACCAATTTGATAACATATTCAAAGATATATGCATGTTCAAGGTAACAATGATTTGGCTACTTACATCATTGAGCGACCAGAGCTTTTTCTAGCTTTCTTCTTGGGCAGCACTTCCTTCCTTCGAGGAGGTTGAAGTACTACCTTGATGGCAGTATCAAAAACTGCTTTGACATTCTATACAACAAAAGAGAGACAAAAAGAGGTGTTCAAGCTTCCATCTCAATACACATCTTTATAAACAGCACAGACTATGGCTTCTTTACTAGGGGATGTAGTCATTTGAAAGAAAAAAAATAAAAGAAAACAGGCATTTCATATCTAAATCGTGCACCTGTTGTGTCTTAGAGCTACATTCAATATAAGCTGCAGCGCCAATTTGCTTCCTAAGTTCCTCGCCCTAGAAGAATATAAATAGATATACAAAGTTCTAAACAATGTTCGCAAGTGAAAAAATATATGAAAATGGTTTTGTTTCTTAGACTACAATAAAACACTCACTTGTGCAGGTGTAATAACAGAAGCACCTGGATGGTTAGAGAGGTAGCCCTTGTCGTCACGAAGATCTGAAACATTAAACATTGTCACTAGAAATTCAAGATATAGCTTACGCTTGAAAGCCATGATCAAGCTGAATCCTTAATAAGTAAACGGTGAAGCTTGAACCGGGAATACACCTAGCTTAGTTCCAACAAGAACAATTGGAACATTTGGGGCAAAGCGGCGGAGTTCTGGCATCCACTGTTTCACAAAAACACAAGATAATACTATCATCCACCATAAGCAAGAAATGATTCATTCCATTAATTAGACCAATTAATAATGGTGACATCCAAAGAAAATTTTCTTTATTAAGTGTGGGAGCAGAGGGAAAAACTGGACAGAAGTGCAAAACATTCGATGCCTGTAATCCATATGCTATCACCCCCCTAAAGTTATATTAGCACGCTAGGTACATTGATAAACAAATATAATGATTATATAAGCTAAAGTACTTCCCCTGTTCCTGTGATATGCCCGAATCATGAACTACAATATCTTGTATTCTTGTTATATTAAATCTAAGAGATAGCATACAATATCTCGTATTCTTGTTATATTAAATCTAAGAGATAGCATACCAAAGTAGAAAGGGGGAGAACTAATTGGTCACTCTTACTTTCTGCCTAAACCAGATAAAGCACCTAAATTTTATAGACTCCACACTTTCTTACTAAAGAAATGAATGAGTTAGCCCAATTCAAATGCAATGAAGACGCATTTATATGCAAAACAAACCAAAACAAATATTACACGTTGATCTTTACCTTCTTCAGAACATTCTCATAGCTTGCTCTGCTGATTAAGGAGAAAGCCAGGACAAAGATGTCTGCTCCTCTGTAACTCAGTGGCCTCAGTCTGCTATAATCCTCTTGTCCTACAATACAAAACAAGTAAAATTAAAGGCACTAAATCCTACATCTTTAGAAACCAAAGAAGTTAATGTTCAAATTATTTTTTGAAATTCTTGAAAATTACAATACCAGCAGTATCCCACAATCCTAAGTTGACAATGCTTCCATCCACAGAGACATTAGCACTGAAGTTGTCAAACACGGTCGGGATGTAATCCTGCCCCAAAATGAAAGAGAACAAAATTACTTTAAAAAAATTTTAAATCTATGGACTCATGACGACAAGAGAAAAGACACCATTTTCCCCCAGAAAAGGGAAAAGAACAATAAAATTTTGGTGAGACAACAGAAAAGGCAAGAAATTTACAACGGTTCAATGAATCAAACAGAAAAATTGACCAAACACAACAGCATAATGTAAAATAGGAAAATCAAAGCACTGAATCTGCATAGATTTGCTCAAACAATCACAGCAGTGAATATTTCCTAGATAAAACACAACAAAAGAGATGAAACCCAGAAAAAATATTATAGCTTTCCTCACATAAAAAGGGTTTTAAGAATGTGGGTATTGAAAAAAATTGGATTTTTTTTATTTGGGGGGGCTACATACAGTTGGGAACTTGTTGCTAGTGTAGCAAATGAGCATGCAGGTTTTTCCCACAGCTCCATCTCCCACAGTCACACATTTAATGAACTTTGTAGCGCTCATCTTCGATCTCCAACTTCCACTTTAAACAACAAAATGGAAGAATTAATTAGAAACCAAATATTCAGAGAGAAAACGGCAAAAGAAAGAAAAGAAGCCTAAGATATGAACAGACGAAGGAGAGGCTTCTACCGCAAGATGTCCAAAACCCAAAAAAGAGTTCTCGGAAATGGGGGAAAACAAAGAGAGAGAGAGAGAGAGAGAGAGAGAGAGAGAAATTAGAAAAAAAAAAATATTTTTGCTGCAATCTTTTTCTGAGGGGGCTCAGAGAAAGGAGCACATTTGGCAAGAAAAGGACAAGAACAAAGGGCGGAGACTGGAGAGAAGCCCGAGAGAAGCGACACCGTCTTTATAAAGCTCGGACAAGGAACTTCTCCTCATCCCCTCTTCAGCATCGAACAGGATTCTTCCCTTAGATCCATTACCGTGTTGCCACGTGTACCAAGAAATTCGTTGACGTTCTGTTTTCCTATTTAGTCTTGACATAGGATCTCATGTGTACGTTTTCTGTTTGAACGCGATGCATGCCCTCTCTCGGTTTGTGTCTGTTTTCAATTTTCAAACGGTGGAGGGGGGGAAGGGTGAGGTGGGCCCGGGTTTATGTCTATTTACTGAAGTGCCCCTGAGATTCCTTGGGGGGAGGAGCGAGTTAAATGGGGGAATCTTTGGTTCGGTAGGAAATACACCAGCCGTCTCCTAGCCTCGTAAAAGAGTCAAGAGTCACTGTACTGAAAATATCACTGAACCCTGAAAAAGAGCTGACACCAAAATGTCTCTCGATATTTTTGATGTGATATATCTGAAAGTGAAGACTACATTTATGGAACACCCATTTATTTAATAAAATAAATTATTAATAAACAAAGTTAAGTGACTTAGACCATCCCTAACACAACGGTATTTTGGTGCAAAAAGTAGTTTTTTCACTGCGTGTGAGCTCCAACCCAGCCTCATTTTTTGTTGCATTTTAGCGTTGATGAACAGTGCAACATCATATTTGGCGTCGCATTGTTCATCACCGCATTACTATTTTTTTTAGTTTTTTACCTTTTAATTTTATGTATTTACAATTTGACTCTAATTATTTTATTAAATTTATAAAACAACCCCAATAATATTTAAATTTTATAATTTTACCCCAATTGTATAATTTGGACAAACTAAGTTATTTTTTTAAAATGAAAATAATGTTAAATTTTAAAAGACATTATTATTAATTATAATATTAAAATCTAGACATTATAAGTAAAGTCCTATGAAATATAAATTAAAGATATAAAGAGCAATCCTAATACATAATTCAAATATAAATTACATATCTGAAATACATAACATATAAAAACTAACACACATAATATAAAACTTTATTAAAATAAAACATAAATTACAAACTAAACATATAACATTACATAAGATGGACAAACAACTCTCAATAATCTAGTAGATCGGATCCAGAGTGTCCAATATCACTAAAATAATTGCCAAAACTAGAAGCAGACCCTTGTTCTTGTTGATTTCTTTTTTGTATTATTTTAATCTGTTGAGCGCGAACGTACTCACGTACGTTTGGATCAGCAATGGAATTCAAATCTTTCATTATAATTTTCCATTCATCTCTATCTTTTTTAATGGCTATGTTTTTCTCGTTCGATATCAAATGCTACTTGCTTGTCCAAGCTCGCCTTGTCTAACCTGTCTATAAGTCGGTTGTTATTTGCATCAATGGAGTCCACTACACTTGACTCATGATCATAATTTTTTCTTTTCAATTTGGCTTTTTTACCCCAATAGGTCATTCAGGTGGAGTAAATGATGACAGTTCAGGAGATGTTGATATAGGAGAATCCGGAGTGGGATTATCTGATTGTGACGAGTCGAAGTTCACACTTTGGGGTTGTCTTCGACCAACTTGTCTTGCTGTGGGGACATCATCTTTAATTTTTTCAAAATTTTTAACCATATTCCAGACAAGATCAAATTTGAAACCTTTTTTGTACTTTGGTTCTTGCATAAATAACATCTTTGCTCGAACTAACTGCAAATTATAGTGAACATCAAGTTATGTATTTCAAAAACAATAACTTGATTTCAAAATAATATTAATAGAATACTTACAATATCTTCATCTGAAGCACCACTTGGATTCAGATTCTCTATTTGTCTCAAGCACGCATTCAATTTTCTTACTTCATTACTTATTATTTCCATTCGAGAACGAACTGATCAGCTCGTACACACCTCAAAATGCTGATCTCGAAGTTCATTGTATATGTCCTCCACACGAGACCAAAATGCATCTCGAGACTGGTTTCTACTGATAATAGGGTCTTGAGAAATATCTATGAATACTTGACAAAGGAGCACATCTTCAGTAACCATGTATCCAGATAATCGAACAGACATTTTTTTTTTGTAAAAAACGGTTGGTTTGGAGATTAGGAATACTTTGAAGAAATACATCGAATTGGGTGGTTTGAAGTAGAAGCCGTGAATGTTATTTATAGCCAATCCAAATTTGGTTTTTTTTGTTTGAATTTGAATTTGAATTTGTCGGTGGTCAACATTTGAAATTGAATCGTTGTGTACAAACTGATCAGCTTTACACATTGTCCAACGTTGTCAGCGGGAATCATTTTCTGAAATCAGCTCAGCTTTACACATTGTCTAACATTGTCAGTGGGAATTATTTTCTGAAATCAGCTCAGCTTTACACATTGTCCAACGTATACAGCTAAGCATTCATTGAATTTGAATCAGCTCAGTTTTACACATTGTCCAACGTATACACAGCTAAGCATTCATTGAATTGTGTGAAAGCTTTATATAAGTGGGAATCATTTTTTGAAATCAGCTCAGCTTTACACATTGTCCAACGTATACACAGCTAAGCATTCCTTGAATTGTGTGAAAACTTTATATGAGTGGGAATCATTTTTTGAAATCAGCTCAGCTTTACACATCGTCAAATGTATACAGCTAAGCAAATTTGAATTTTGTGTCAAATTGATAACAGCTGGAAAGTATTTCCTGAAATCAGCTCAGCTTTACACATTATTCAACGTATACAGCTAAGCAAAGCTTTATAAATAGCATACTAGATTAGGTACCTCCACACAATTATTCGTTGTTGTGTTAAAATTATTATTCTCCATTTCTGCATACTTCAGTCATTCTTTTCTTACTTCAAAAATAAATTTCGATGCTGGAGGTCCATTATATTTATCATCATCTTCATCTTCGGATGATGATAATTTTCTGTCCAATATCATTGTAGAGATTGATGAAACCGAAGAAGTAATTTGTGAGTACATCAACAATAACATGATCCTCGCAAACAATTTACGTCAACAAAACTACCAACCGATCCATGGTGGCTAGATTCCCGGTCATGTAGTGATCAACCGCGATCGAGAAACTACGCATTAGAATTTGGTCATAGATTACTTTGCTGATAATCCATGTTTTGGAAAAGATATGTTTCGTCGTCGATATCGGATGTCAAGAAGTTTGTTCCTTAGTATTGTTGATGCAGTGAAAGATCATGACTATTACTTCCAACGACGAAGTGATGGACTTGGTAGAATGAGATTATCATCGTTACAGAAAGTAACAGCTGTTTTTCGCATGTTGGCATACGGTCTACCAGCTGATGCTACAGACGAATACATTAAAATAGGTGAGTCAAAAGCAACTGAAAGTATGATAAAATTTTATCTTGCTATGGGGGAGATAGTCGCAGAGCGGTATCTACGAACACCTAACGCTAATGATATTGCTAGGCTACTCTATATTGGTAAAAAATATGGTTTTCCAGGAATGTTAGGAAATCTTGATTGTATGCATTAGAAATGGAAAAATTATCCAACGATATGGTCTGGGCAATACACAGGACGTAATGGATCACCAACTATTATCCTTGAAACTATAGCAGATTATGATCTTTGGATATGGCACGCATATTTTGGTATGTCGGGCACCAATAATGATATCAATGTGCTGGAATCATCTAATTTTTTCTCTAATCTTGCTCAAGGTACTGCTCCTCCCGCTCACTATGTTATTCAAGGAAAAGAGTATAATGTGGGTTATTATTTAGCTGATGGTATATATCCAAAATGGGCTACTATTGTACAAATAATCCAACAGCCACAAGGTAGGAAGAAAAAATATTTTGCCATGAAACAGGAAGCATGTAGAAAAGATGTAGAACGTGCGTTCGGCGTTCTCCAATCTCGAATTGCAATTGTGGCAGGATCAGCACGTTTTTGGAAAAAATATGTATTACATGATATAATGAGTGCATTTATTATTATGCACAATATGATAATCGAGGAGAACGTGATCTTTATGCACCAATTTAAGAAGTGAGAGAAGCACCAACATCAGAAGTTGATATTGTAGCAGATAAAACTACAAAATTTAATCAATTTATTACACGTTACAGACAAATCAAGGATAAAGATGCCTATATTGCACTTCGTAATACATTGATAGATCATTTATGGGAGGAATACACTAATTCAGATAGCTAAGTGCATATTAAATTTGTAATTTTTACATTGTTGTTAATGTTTAATTATTTTCTTGTATTTTATTTTCTGTTGTGTTCTTAAATGTAATATTTTGGCAATATCAATAATAAATATAGATTATTTTAGCAATCAAGTTATTTTAATTAATAAAGTAATATTTTATTGTTTTATTAGTTTATTTTTTAAGTAATAAATCATTTTGTTTGAAAAATATGTGAAAAAAATAAAATTTGATATGTGGGATTAATTGTTGAAATAGTTAAAAATATAATGAATAAAAAATAATAATATAAAAACAGATAAAAAGGAATATTCTAAGAATATTCTTTTTTGGTGCAATGGGTTGGAGATGAATTACTGTTTGGTGTGACTTTTGCACCATTTTGGTGCAAAATTTGCACTATTTTGGTGCGATGGGTTAGAGATGCCCTTACACCTTCCGATACGATTAGCAAAAATAAAAATAGATCATACGATGTAATTATTTTTTATTAGCTAATTTAATTATTAGGGAAAATTGTGTCAAGATTCCAAAAGCAAAATATTCATGTGCTGCTGCTTCTTTGATTTTTTTTCCCCATGTGGTTAAACTCTTAAATTGGAGATCTATGTTCTACACCCCTCTTTTAGCAATTATTACGTGTAAAGTAAGCATAGAGAGAGAATAAAAAGTAAAAAAAACTCAAAATGCCCTTATCTACTCTATTCTTTCATGTTAGGTCTATTCCCCCCCCCCCCACCCACACACACACAAAAAAAAAATGCTCTTATCTCCTCTATTCTTTCATGTTAAGTCTAAAAGCAAGTTGAATTAGACTTAACATGAAAGTCTATTTCATGTTATGTCTAATTTGGTTCATATTAAGTCTAATTTAATTCCTTTGAAGTCTAATTTAAATCATGTTATATCTAATTCAATTTGTTTCAAGTCTAATTTAATTCATGTTAAGTCTAATTCAACTTGTTTTAAGTCTAATTTGATGTTAAGTCCAATTTAATTCATATTAAGTCTAATTTAAATCATGTTATGTCTAATTCAACTTATTTTAAGTCTAATTTAATTGAACTTAACATGAAATTAGACTTAAAAAAAGTTGAATTAGACTTAAAAGGAATTTAACATGATTAAAATTATAACTAACATGAACTGTTATTAGACTTAACACGAACTGAATTTAAACTTAACATGAATCTAGTTGGACTTAACATGAAATTAGACTTAACATGAACTGTTATTAGACTTAACATGAACTAAATTTAGACTTAACACGAATCAAGTTAGACTTAACATGAAATTAGACTTAACATGAACTGATATTAGACTTAATATAAACTGAATTTAGACTTAACACTAATCAAGTTGGATTTAACATAAAATTAGACTTAAAAAGAATTAAATTAGATTTAACAACAATCAAATTGGCCTTAACATGAAGTAAAATTGGACTTAACATTAAATTAGACTTAAAATAAGTTGAAATAGACTTAACATGATTCATGTTGAGCCCAATTCAAATTATTTTTAGACTTAAAATAAGTTGAATTAGACATAACATAATTTAAATTAGACTTAAAAGGAATTAAATTAGACTTAACAAATTAGACTTAAAACAAGTTGAATTAGACTTAATATGAATTAAATTGGACTTAAAATAAAATAAATTAGATTTAACAAGATTTAAATTAGACTTAAAATAATTTAAATTAGACTTCAAATAATTTAAACTGAACATAACACAAACCAAACTAGACTTAACACGAACCAAACTGGATTTAACATAAATCAAACTGAACTTAACATGAACTAAATTGGACTTAACACTAAATAATTAGATTAAAATTAGACTTAAAAGGAATTAAATTAGATTTATTCGGTTCATGTTAAGTCTAATTTAATTTCTTTTAAGTCTAATTTCATGTTAAGTCCAATTAAATTAGAATTAAAACAAGTTGATTTAGACATAACATGATTTAAATTAGACTTAAAAGAAATTAAATTAGACTTAATATGAATTAAATTGGACTTAACATAAATTAGACTTAAAATAAGCTGAATCAGACATAACATGATTTAAATTAGACTTAACATGAAAGAATAGAGGAGATAAGGGCATTTTAGGATTTTTTTTATTTTATTTTTTATTCTATGTCTATGCTTAGTTGGTAGATAATAATTACTAAAAGAGGGCTGCAGAACATAGATCTCGAATTTAAGGGCTGAACCACACAGGAAAAAGTTAAAGGGGCAGAAGCACATGAAGATTAGGCCTTGACACAATTTTTCTTAATTATTAAAATGAATTGTCACGTCATATTCATTTTCCTTTCGTGAAATTGTCTAGTGTTCTCTGATTATGCATCACTGATGCATCAAAATATCATAAATTCTTATGTTGACATATCAACTCCCAATCACTTTGAGTTGCAATAGTCCAACATATTAATATTTACTAGCAGTTTCTCTATACGTATTAAAATAAAATAGACTATGAATACTCTTTAGTCTAATATTTATTAGCATCTTGGCTATCACTTCTTCTTTTCTTTTCTTTTCTTTTCTTTATTGTTATGAATTGAGCTTCAACATTTCACAATCATTTAGGACAACACACCAAGTTTGGGGTGAACCCATCGTCGTTTGACCCTCCGTCGAGCCATGTGAAAAGTTCTATTCGTTCGAAACCGTTAAAATTGATACGAGCTCATATATATCTAATACTATTATAAAAGTGTATTGCCATGTTAAAACATTTCTTCCAATAATACCCTCCGAAACACATACATGCATACATCTCTAGCACGTCCATACATGCATACATTAAGATATATACATACTTAATTTTTCATAACCTCCCTATTTATTAGCATCAAATTTTCATTTAACCACCCACTAATAACATTCCCCTACCAAGTCTTGACATTACAAACTAATAATAAAAAACGTTATAACTATTCATCTGCCATAAATCACTATAAATTATTATTATAACATCGGCCCCACTAAGTCTTCACATTACATACTAATAATAAAAATCGTTACAACTATTCCTCTTCCATAAATCACTATAAATTACTATAGAATCTTATCAAATTTCTCTAACCAAAATTCTAACTCTTAATCAAAATTTATTCATATTGAAAAGAGACACAACTACATCACTTACAAACCGCAATAAGTGTGAATGTGTCAATGGTAACATCACTGGTGGAGTACGATCAAATTGAATAAGGAGATGATAATGGAAGCATCGGTGTAACAATTTAGAGAGCAGAGAAAAAATCAATGAAGGTGACAAAGAAGATGGTCCTGTATTTTATCAAAATATGCAGCTATTTCAGTCATAAACTAATTAGTTTTTCCTCCTTCCATCTTTGTATATGTTTTTGCTTTAGCATGTAAATTGGTTTCCAACTCCTACGCATGTTTGTAAATATGCTAAATTGTTTTTATAGTTTGGTTGAATCTCTTAATGCATTGTGCTTATTCTCGGGATAAAGAAAGCTTTGTCCTGACAATGCATTATAAGTGTAATTGCTTTCACTCTATATGTGTAAAGGGTTAAATTTCGTTCTATGGTCACTAAGGTAATGCATTGATATTTTTGGTTATAAAGGACAAGAAAGTGCAAGAATATCAATTTAGAAAATGATGTAGTTAGTTGGTGGACTCAAAGAGCAATTTTAGATAAATTGCAAGTATCAAATATAAATTGGGTTATAAAAAGAGCACATCCAGCACTATAATTATCCTGCAAGTGAATAAGAGCTATAAAAGACAAAGAAATTAGGGGACTCTATAATTGCAAGTTTATTATATCCTTGAAATTGCAAGTATCAAATATAAATTACAAGTATCAAATATAAATTGCATATCAAATTTAAAATTTTAGAGTTTATTATATCCTTGAAATGCAATTTTAGAGATATAAATAGTTGGTGGACTCTAAAATTATGTAAATTATACCCTTGAAATGCAATTTTAGAGATATAAATCGTAAGCATCAACTATAAATTGGGGACTCTAAGAGCTAATACTAAACTAGAGGATGTTTAATAATTTCTAAAAAGATAATTTCAAAATGGCATCCCTCTCTCTCATGTAATTGTACTTGAGCTTCTTTCTTTACAAGTAGTTTATATTTTATAATAGAAACATGTGTAAGCTAATTTTCTATGCAGAGAGTTATTGTTTGCGATAAAAATAACTTATTCATAACCTCCTACAAATATACCAATTTAATCTTTATGTATTAGGTCTCATTTCATTGAATAAATATTAATTCTTTATTAATTACTATAATAACTTAATAACTATTCACTTTCTAATCTAATAGAACCAAAAGAATTCTAAAAAAATTGATCAACAAGTGTGCCTACATGCAACGCACATACACAATACTAGTTTTATAAAAAGTGCAAAGTGGTGCTAGTATCCATCAGAGGAGAAATAACACTTGGGTAGGCTAATCTCTTATTGACCAAGCTGTATCACCAATTTCAAGGAGAGTAGAGCAATCCCTAAATGTTTACTCTTTAGATACATATTAGTATTACTTTGTTTGTACAAAGGTTTGAGGTGCATACTTCCAAAAATTTTATTTCTTCCTATTAATTACTCTTTTTAAAAAAGAGATTTATAATTAGTAGAAAACAAAGAATTAAACAAACGTCAGAAGCCAAATGCAGAGAGATATTGATTTTATTATCTTTCTAATGTATTATAAAATTTAAGGGAAATGATATGAGATATTGAGTCTCCAGACAATATTCTGGAGCCCTCCTCCCTTTCAAAATAAAAAATGCAGAGGACCTTGTCGTTTTTCGCACTTCAAGTCT